TAGAGAAAACCACATCGGGAGCACCGGATGCAATAGATTAGGTTGGAGGAGATGCGGATGAAACTATGTCTCACCTGGAAGGACTATTTAGGGCCCTTGAGGGAGGTAGTGCGTGGGCAGGTGTTACATCTTTTACAGTTATGGGTGGGGGGAATGGGGGCATTGGAGTGGTTAGTAGGGAGTGTGGTGCAAACTAAGGAGTGGCGAAGGGAATGGGCTGTACGGAAGGTAGGGAGTGGTGACCAACAGTACTGGTGTCCACCTATCACCACCATTCCGCTACCCTCCCCCCGCCTCCCCGTTTATTTGAAGCTCCCCCTACCCCCACATCCAGTCCTGAAGAAGGGCAATACCCGAAATGTTGACTTCTCCTTCCCTCCTCATGCTGTCATGGCTTGCTGTGTTCTTCCAGCCTCCCGTTTATCTACCTGAGAATTTATTCTCCTTTTTCTTAAGTGTCTCTAGTGCTTTTTCCCTGCTAATACTGACTACTTCAAGTCTTATTAACCCTTTGGTACCACCCTCTGGGTACAAATACCAGCAATTACTTTCGCTCCGATGATAATTATGGCGATAGCAAGTAGCATTGCTGAGGATTGCGACATGACGCAAGAGCGCCATCTACAGTGGTCCTGCAGACTACATCAGCAAAAAGCCTTTGTCACAGCTTTGGGATGCACTCTGCCACATGTTGTTCAATGTTTCTCCCACCCGCCCCCCAAACTTAGTTCCCATGCCCGAAACACACACATAGTGTGCAGACTTCAAACCATGGCATTTCTCACCTGCGCATAAATTGCTTTAGCATTCGACAGAATCAGCTTAGCTGAGTTGGAATGGTCCGTACAGAAGATGGGGAGTGGTGACCAACACTACCAGTGTCCACCGGTAGCGCTAATCGAAAATGTTAGGGCTACGATGAGTATTGAGTTCATAGACGAATCATAGAATCCCTATAGTGTGGAAGTAGGCTATTCGGCCCATCGAGCCCACACCGGCCCTCCAAAGAGCCATCCATGCTCATGCTAACTCTCCATTTCCCACCCTAGACACTATGGGCAGCCTAGCCAATCCATCTAACCTGCACATCTTTGGCCTGTGGGAGGAAACTGGAGCACCCGGAGGCCGCAACCCACACAGACACGGGAAAGACGTGCAAACTCCCCACAGACAGTCGGCCAAGGGTGGAATCTGGTGCTGTGAGATAGCAGTGCTAACCTCTGAGCCACTGTGCCACCCCAGATAAATACAATTGATCTCAGCTAAGATACCGAAATACAGTGGGAATAAGAGAAATATAAATCAGGTCACAACCAACAAAAACATAACTATGTGCAACTAAGATGGAAGCCAGAGGTCTGAAGGTGATAAACTAGAGGAATGATGTTTGATTAAAAGAAACGTAATTTTAGTCAGACCACTTCCAATCTAAGAAAATTACCTCTGCTATGTAATAAAACAGTGGCATTGTTAACTGTAACTGGTCTTCAAAATGAATGGGCAAAATGCTGGTATCCACACAAAGAATTGGGATCTAGCAAGTGCTAATTTAAGGGCCAGTGGAATTTGCTCAGTGTTTTCACCTGCACAGGTCACAAGTATTATCATCATTCCTCCAGCAAGAGTTCTATTCTTGACCTTACTGGAAAGTTCAAGTTAATGTATAGTGAGGACAGGATATGATTTCCCCCAGTTAGTTGATGCCCTTGTCGACACTGGCTCGGATCATTTTAACTCACGGTGATACCACAAAAAGAGTTAGGATATTGGATTAGCTATCCTTTATACAGTCTTGATTTTTACTTACATTGACTTTGCAAGTTTTATTGAATTGCAGCTTGAAACTTGCATTTGGATCTACCTTGCTCTCTAGATAACCTCAGGTACTGAGTTTCTCTATCTTACTATTTCCCCTTATCAAAGGTGTGAGTCAGCGTAGCTTCCAATGGTGGATTACAGTGGATTTGTGTGGTTTACTAAGGATCCTGTTTTGCAATATGAATTCCATTGGTGTTCTATTCATTCTGTTGGATTTTCCGAGAATATTTTAATGTATATTTTGCACTGCAGTCTCTGCTTTTTCTGACTTTACAGCTGCACTTTAAAGTCCTAAGCAATTGTTAGAAGCAAGTGTGTGATATCACATGCTTGCACGTATTGCAAAGTCCCTGTATCAACAAAGGTCTTCAATGTCACTGTCTGATCTCTGATTTGATTTAAATGTTTGTTTTGCTTTGACACATGAAGACTGATTTTGAAATTCTCCAGCAGGTCAAGTTCCCTTATAAAAACTGCTGGTTGCTGAAGTCTGCTCTCTATGATTTAGCGACATTTCCACTTTAAAACGTTTGCAGCAGATGGGTGAGATTTGGGGACACCACCACTTCAGCAATCAGGTCACGATGCATCCGTCTGCTTACAGACTTGGCAAAATTTTTCTTTTCTTCAATTCTTTCTTCAGTTCAGAAACCATCAAACATACAACAGGTGTACACTGAAGGGTCTAGGCCTGAAACGTCAGCCTTCCTGCTCCTCTGATGCTGCTTGGCCTGCTGTGTTCATCCAGCTGTACACCTTGTTATCTTACATTTTGCACAATGTTGGATATCAACAAGGCTTGAAGAACAAGAGACTTATTTCCTCTCTGAGGTTCATTAGGCAGAGGAAATTGCTCTCCCAGACTGCAGTGGAGCTTGGGTCGCTGAATATATCCAGGCTGACTTAAATAGATTTTTTTTCTTGTTGACAAAGGAGCCAAGGGTGGACCACAACCTGGTCAGCTATGATCTTACTGAATAGACTCAAAGGGCTGAATGGCCTAATCCTAAAGCTTTTGTTCTTATGTAGACCTCATTTTACATTGGGAATCCCTGGTTTAAGCCAAAGTGAGGGTCAGTACTCTAAGGGAAGTCACAAGGTGTGAAACTGTAATGTCCACAATCAGGTTTGCATCAAGTTACAACAGCCAGGTTCCCACTCTAACAGGCCCTCACTCTCTCAGCTTTCACCGACAGGGTGGTCATGACCATTTTCAAGTCTCAAAATGGAGTCACAGTGGGAAAATATTTGGGAAGCACAGGCCTAAACACTCTATCAAATGTGTACATCGAATGGAACAAAGTCAGCAGCAGCCTTTGGAAGAAATTGCTTGTGTCCACAGACTGTCTTGGTACCTTCTTGTAATAAGTAATTGACAGGCCAGCTACCTCTTTGACAATTACGATGGTTGACCAGATTTAACTCTGGATATCACCTATAAACTAGCTTTAACTTTCTTGTTAGTCTACTGTTAATATTGCTGTAGTAAATTGAACCAGTGATATTTCAAGTACTTCGCGACATGCTGATGCTTCTTTCTATCAAGAGTTTACTTTGCATGCAATTGGCCACACTGATCAATAGATGATCTCTGTTGGACATCATTCGAGTTTGCATTCAAGCACTGCCTGACTACTTTATATATAGTTATTGCTTTATTAGCATAAGATCCGAACATTTAATTTTAAAAGCTTACCAACATTTTGATCGAGTGTATGTTTCTGAGTTTCTTTTCTCCAAAGACCATCGTGCCTTTTGCTAATATATTCTTCTGAAAAATTCATAGTGCAGAGTATGGAGATCATTTCCAGCGAATAACAGCAGCTTGGAATTATAGCCTGCTTACAAAATTGCAGGGACCTTGTCTGTACCTACTAGGCATATAGTAACAATATGGCTGAGTGGGCAGAGACAGGGTGTAGGGTGGGGCTGCTTTTGGCTTAATACACACATGGCAGAGAGATATCTCTGTGTTGGATGTTTGGGTAGTTTATCTTCCATTACTTGTGAGTGTTGTAAACTGCTTCATGTGCCACTTTGGATATTGTGCCAAATCACTGGCTGAGTTTAATACAGATGTAGAATCATAGAACCCCTGCAGTGCATAAGGAGGCCATTTGGCCCATCAAGTCTGCACCAACCCTCCCAAAGGGCATCCCACCCAGACCTTTACCCTATCCCTCTAACCCCAGATTTAACATAGCCAATCCAACTAGCCTGCACATCTTTGGACTCTTTCAGGATATTGGAACACCCTGAGGAAACACACACAGACACGGGGAGAAGGTGCAAACTTCACACTGACCCGAGGCTAGAATTGAACTCAGGGCCCTGGCACTGTGGGGCAGCAACCACTGTGCTGCCCAGTTCCAAAGAAGGGTCACTGGACCTGGACGTTAACTGTGCTTTCTCTCCACAGATGTCGCCAGACCTGCTGGGGTTCTCTGTTTTCGTTTCAGATTTCCAGCAACCGCAGTTACAGAGACACTGATTTGCACAGCATGGAAATAGACCTTTCAGTCCAACTCGTCTATGCTGACCAGATATCCTTAACTTAGTCCCATTTGCTAGCATTTGGCCCATATCCCACTAAACCTTGCCTATTCATATATCCATCTAAATGTCATTTAATTGTACCAGCCTCCACCACTTCCTCTGTGACTATAGCTCCTCAATTCCTGCTTCTAAAAGGACGATAGTGTATTTCTCAGGATTTGATCAGCACATGCTGTGCACCGGGCAAGGAACAGCCTGGCCCCCCCTCCCTGAATGATACCCTTGTGAATCACCTCTGCTGGTATTACATTCTCTAAACATGTCCTTGGTCTCACAACATTGGGTGTCATCTACACCCGGTGATGTCATCCTCTCCACAACATGATAACCCAACATGTCACCTTGGCAAATACCAACATTCCAGTGTAATGTACGGTAGAGGAGCAGATACAGGTAGCTGGAATATATCTGGGGTTGATGGATGTATACAAAGTACTCCAGTTCCAATATGAGGGTCCATGTACTCAGACTGCTTTCAATTATGCCATTCCTTCTCCACCTTTAAGCAGATGAGTATTATGCTGAAGGAGCAAGGAATGGGGCGGCTGGAAAGGAAAGGGGTCAACTTCAAAGTGGTCGAGACACACAGCAGTATATTGGGCAGGACAAGACTTGGAGAGACTTACCCGCCAGACTGTTGTAGCACTCGATCTCGCTAGTCTCCACCAGCCTCCTCTCTTCCTCGGTCAGTGCGACCGGCGCTCTCCCGCAGGAGGGAGGCTGGACCTGGACAGAGGAGGACGACGACTCGGGATCAGTGACCGCCAAGAAGGTCTTCATCTCCAGCAGAGCCCGATGGTATTTGCCGATGGCTTCTCGGAATTTCTTCGCCTTGTAGCACTGGTTGCCTTGCATCTTGAAATCCAGGGCTCTCTGGACGGTGCCCTGGGACTCCGGCTGGCTTTGCTCGCACTTGGACGCAGTCCGTGGAGCTGACCCTCCGCCCATCCCACCAGCATCTCCTGGCCGCCCGGCGGTGGAGATATACTGGGTCCCAGGCACCGCTTTATCTTCCATCTCTTAGCTGCTGCTGCTACCAGCGCCGACCTGATTCCTCATGTTGCTGGCACACCGTCTGCTGGCTGTTTTGTCTGTTTACGTCTGTCTGCCTCTCTCTCTCTCTCTCTGCTTAGAACTGATTGCAGAAATTGACCACTACTGACTCCGATCTGCTCTGCCTTATGTGTGTGTGTGTTTTTTAAAAAAAATCATTGGCTCTATATTGTTGACCCGGAAGAGCTGGAACAGTCCACACGTAATCCAACCCTGATTCACTTTCTAATTAAAGCGATCAGTGTCTAGAGAGGTGAGCAGAAGCGAATCACAGATCACTGGAAGAGTTGGATGGGGGGCTTGAGGGACAGCGGGGTCAGGGTTTGATAAACTTCGAATCACACAATTACCCTTGGAGGATCATCAAGCCGTATGTTTAAGACGTGTTAATGATTGGTCGAATTTACTGCAGGGTGTAAATCTCTCTCTCACACATACACATACACACACCCAGATCAACCACGCCCTCTTGTAAAAAAAACGTTTTCCCATATCGCCACAACAGAGAAACTCAGCAGGTCTTGCAGCATCTGTGGAGAGAGAGAGAGAATGTTTTGAGTCCAACGTGACTTCTTTAGAAGCGAAGGGGGCTGTCGAAAAGTTTTTTTCTAAAAAAAAATCAAAGATATTTTTATTCAGCGGTTATGACACACGTCCCGGGGCAGGTACATTGATCTAAAAGACCCCAGGTTTTGTGCTTCAGGGGGAAGTGTAGTGAAAGGGGTGACAGGCAGGAGGAAAAGGCAAAGGGGGTACTAATGGAGCCATGTAGCAGGGATGTGGGTGAAGAGCGGATGTTAATGATAGGCATTAATAGCAGAGGAGAGGTCAGCTCTACTGAGAGCGAACCCGTGGGGCGAATAGGTTCGAATCAAAATAGAGGACAGTTTTCTTCATGTCTAACATTGTGGAATTCTGTCGTCCCGTTTTGACTACAGTTTTCCCCTCTTCCCTCCTTTCCCCCAAAGCAAGTTAATTTCACACCACCCTATCTCTTACCCAAGACCAGTTTTTGGAGTATCCGTCCTCAGATTCACGCAAGCTTGCTTCCCCACCCACGCCCCTTTCTGCCTGTGTTCTGTAGGGATTTTTTTTGTTGTGTTTGGGAACTGGTCCTGTAATATGTTGCTCGGGTGGGTTCTTTCATTTTCAGATGTGAACGAATTTGGACAAAGATTTGGCAATGGGGAATATTCCATCGGGTGCCCTCTCAGTCACGCCCTCACACTCACCTCCGTCCACCACCAGTGCCCCATCATTCATCACACCACCGTTCCCCTGCCATAGCCTCCTCCTTCCCACTCCACACACAACCAAAAATCTCCTCTACCGCCACCCTCTTCATAACTTGAAGGACTCTCACTCCCAAACAATGAGCAAGATCAGTTACTAGTCAAGGGGTAAATTCTGGGATCTCTCTATGACTATGCTTTTACAATTTTAAGCAGTCATTGCTCTCCATAGGAAACGACGCAGCAACTGTCTTATGGCAAGGACTATTGTCCTTAACAGACTGGAAAAATAAACAATACAAAGCAAACTTTCTGAGTATGTTTTCTTCCTGCATCCCATCCCACATGATCTGTTGTATACCTTAAAGTCAGCCTGTACTCCATAAGCATTGTATTCCATTTTGTTTCCCATTGTTTAAATAACAGGTTTTGAATGTGCTGTGATTTTAATTAACTACAGCCCGCCACTTCTTCCCATGTATTTCTTATTTATATCTTGCAGTGTTGTGCAAACGCGCAGTTCATTAACCTGAAACGAGTTTGTCTGCTATTCTGACGGGGGGTGTAAAACCGTCTATAATCTCTGTTAATGTGTCGGGTGCGGCAGCTTCACATGCAGGTGTCAAACGTCGCCGGGCTAATCCCGCATCAACTACTTCCTGAACTTCACGTGTCACCTTTAAACCTAAGCTTCTGCGAGTGGGAAAGCTTTCAGATCTCCAAATCTCACTCTCCCGCATGTGCCATACTATTGCAATTAGGCTGCCTGACATGCTGCTGCAGCCGTGATCTTCTTTGTAAAGATGATCTGCTCCAGCCTCTGCCAAATGTGGTAGTGACATCGAGTGCCAGACTGCAAATGCTGTAAGACAGCTATGCATTGCGATTAAATAGACAGACTGCCAGGAACGCGAATCCAAATAAAAAAAAGCAGAGCATAATCATTGAAAACAGTCACTTTAAATATAAACATTCAGATCGTGAGATGCCTTCAATGTAACTTACTAACTGTAGTCAATCTATTTAGGGTTTTCTTGTATATCTCTCTTTACCCATCTGATATTTCCAAAACTGGTTTGAAATGTATGAAATGTATAGCAAGCATGTTACATCCTCGTGTACTTTTCTAGGAAGATCACATATTTTGACATGATAATGTTAAAACTTACAATGAATGTATATTTTCCTTAGTTATGGGCCTTACTGTACCTGGAACTGGCCACTGATCATATGCTGGAATTTCCAACTAATAAACTGGTAATTCATATATAATACCATAATGATTATGAGACAACATGAATTCTAATTCTATTAAATAAATGGGAAAAAAAAACTCGAATGGAAAAGCTAGACTCAGTCATGGTGCTAGACTCAGTCATGGTGAGCATGGAACTATAGGATTGTTACTTTTTAAACAAAAACTAATGTTTTTCAGGGAAAGGAAATGTATTTTATGTCCTTGTCCACTCTGGCATATACCTGACTCCAAACCTACATCTTTGTGGGTGACTCCCAAATGACCTAGCAAGCCAAATTCTATTACAGAAGACAGCTCACAACAACCATCTCATGGGCAATAGAGACTGGCCTTGTCAGTGATATGTCTTTCCTTTGAAGGAGTAAAATATACAGTCTCCTTAAATGGTACAGATGAATATAGTTCAGATGGAATATAACTTAAAGGCTGGGTATCTGAGTAAAGAATTTGTACCTACTGCCAGCTTGTTTACCTTACATTACTGTGCAATAGTGCAGCATGTTTTCTTTGTACAGTATTGGCACATGTAGCTGATCGCCCTTAATGAGGATCAACATAATCCATAATCCTTCTGATCCATGAGGTAAGCTGTTATATGTGACATGAGCTGTGAGCCTAATATAAAGCATGATGTTGATAGCTCTGTGTACCTCACCAGGGCTCTTCCATTTCGAATTTGAGTTAACTACAAACCTCTATAATATAAATTGCAATTAGTGTAGCATTAGCTACAATTTTATGCATTATTCAGAGTTGTGCTAAGGGTAGAGAAGCATTGTTTACTTACAGTAGGAAAAATAAACATGTTACTAATATAAAGAACAAGGGGACAAAATTGCAAGAGTTTTTGTAAAGTATCATTTGAACATAGAATGCTTCACCACAAGGCAAAATTGAGATGAAGATGGCAATATTATTTAAATTGAAACTAGGTAGGTATTTGAATAGGAAGAAAGTAAAATCATAGGAATAGTGGACAGGTTTATCTCAATCTTTGCAATAATTTCTATGATTGTGAGAAAGAATGTTTGAATTCTGTTTATTTCATTTTAGTAGTGACAGCAAGGATTGTAACCTGGAATTTTGTAATGTGTTGTCTGCATATCAATGCTTATTTTATATGGAATGATGCCTCCTTTTAAATAGCTGAAACATGCATTTATAAAAATTCATGAATTTGTTGTGTGAAAATGCTGCCCTTCACTGCTCGCTGTTAACTCTGTGATCACCAATAATGACATGCATAGGGTGCTGGGGTGAGGGGTAATGACTGTGTGGCAGAACAAATATGAACAAGGCCACTTTATTATCAAATTGTCAAATTTTAAACTCTTGACTTTGTGGATAGTATCATAATCAATTCCCTCTGCACTTGACATCTGCACAAATGCTTCTAAGCATTTAGCGCTGAATAGTGATTAGGATTATGAATTGTGGCTGATTGTTGGCATTCCCAGCCCTTCTACTAGGAGGGTCCGGATTGCTACATCATTTGAGATTATCTAACTCAGTCAGGCAGAATATGAAGAAGAGACCTTCATTAGTTTGAATTACTCAAATCTATCAAACAAAGCTTCATGGAAACTACATTGAGGCCCTTCTTATGACTTTGTAAATGATAGCTAAAAGTTTGGAAGGCAGAAGCTGTTGTCTTTTGTCTTCACTTTGTCCATCTCTCTCCTTGGCAAGTGCCTGATGTTGAAACAGCATCTTTGCAATCCTAGATCCAAATTTGACTGAGCAATGAGTATGCAACTATATATCTACTCAGTCACCAAAACTTGCCATATCTACCTCCATAGTAGTGTTTCACTCAGTCTGCCTCAGCACATCTGTTGCTGACACCATCACCCAATTTTTATTTTTAACTTCTCAGCTTGACAACTAACAACTCAGCCTTCCCAACTAACACCTAATAATATTGCCCCCTATTCAAACTTGAGGCTAATCCAAAACTCAGCTGCCTACATCCTAACTTGCACCACTTTCAGTTCAATTTCACCCATTATCCCTAAGTAGAATATCCTGCATTGATACCCCATTTGGCAAAGCCTCAAATTTTAAATTTGCATCTTAAACTCCAAATCTATGCAAAGCCTCACCCATTCTTATCTCCTCCAGAACCACAGTGCTTTGATGTCCCTGCAGTGGTTCCATTCATACCACCACTGGCAAATGAGTATTCAACTGAATAGGTGTAAAGCTCTGTGCTTCCATCTTTAAAATCTTACTTCTCTCAAGTTTTCTGTCTCCTTTCAAAATCTTTCTTAAAACTTACATTGTTGATAACATCACCTCTCTTAATTTGTCCATATGTGGCTCGTTGTCATGTTTCATTCGACAACACTCCTGCGAAGTGCCTTTACAAATTATATTCCATTAAAAGTGCTATATAAAAATAATTTTCTGTTGTTCCTTTCAAGATTTTAATTCAAAATATAGATGATGTATATCTAGTAATAGGAAACCTAAGTGATACTCATTGTATAAGACACTGAATTAAATATTCACCACTCAGGACTCTGTGGCTACTCAATGTCTGTGTAAAATGCTGTGTTGATAAATGTACCGTGTTGTGATGCCACTCATACTTACAATGTGCTTTGAAGTAATAGAATAGTCAATATAGGAAAATAGTTAA